AATTTTAAACGAGACTTTATTGTAGATTATACATTTTACTGATACCAACTATATCATATTTACCTTGTTCTTTAAAAATAAAAATAATTTTTTTTTGGAAATATATATTTTTATTTATTTTTAATTTTTAATGACAATCAAACATGTGGGAAGAGGGGGGGCGGCGCCCCTAGCGCCCCTATGGGCCGGCCGCCACTGGAAAGAGACATACTTTGTCTTTATTGGAGCGAGTTGGTTGAGACAGGAGGAGAGAGCATTGTTGTAGGTGTTGACCAGGTCAGTAGGGGAAACATTCTGGGTGACAGTGGAGTCAGGGATGGAGCCAGGGATGGTGTCAGCCATGTGAACGGTACCTGAAAGCAGATCATCAGATACACATACAGTATATACAATTTTGCCTGAACCATTTGAAAGGCATGATATGTGACAAATAAATGTTTAGCATTAGGGTTTTAGCCTTTGCAGACAATTTACACAAAAACCTATATAGGCTAACACACTACAGGAAACGGAAAAACCCATAAAGCATAATAGGGCCTCTTTTAAGGGCGAAATGGGTGCTGATTAATTGCCTTTTGATAGCAAAACTTGGTACTATATTTGCATTGCCAGGTATTTAGGTGTAATGTACACTTTGTATTCAAACAAACTCCTGGCAAACAGAGCCTCATCTTCAAGTCTTATGCAATTCCCATTACTGTTATTATTCTACACAGTTACATGTCGACATGTGAGGCAACAAGCACAGCAAATCCACCAATCTATCACTACAATGGTGGCCGTGGCAGGGAGCGTGGCCCAGAGACACGCACTCGCTCCATGGGGGGTTTCTGCCAATCTGGCAACCGCAGTGGGAGGTCTCACTCTCATCAACGCTGTAGGATCCAGACCACTTGTCTACATTTTCTCCCTCTCGTCTGCAAACAGGCTTTAATATGAAGCTAGCAAATTATGTGTCTGCAGTTAACACATGCATTTTGTTTTATTTTATTGTACTGAAACTACTTTCCTCAGGAGATCAAGTCCCACTGAAAACTGTTGACAGTGTAACAAATAGATTGTAAATGTTGCTGTTAAGTTTTAGAAATGTAATGTTTACACAAATAAAATTGGACTAACCTTCAGTATATTTGGATGGCAGCTGAGTTTTTTGGGCAGAGGTAGAGATCTCAAAAACAAAGGAAAACTGCATTGCAAGAAATGACAAAGTTACAATATGTTTCTCTCTTATCCAATTAAGGTTGAAACATTTAAATGTTTTACCTTTTTCAATTATATTCTTACATAAAGATCTGAGAATCGCAGTTGATTTTTTGACCTTGGAAACAGGAATTGACAAACAATCTCACCCCAGGGTTCATCAACCAGCTGTTCTGATTGTGTAGGTTGTCACATGATCTAAGTTTGCCCAGTCAAAAGTTACATTTACAAATGTCTTATCAACACGTTTTGCTTTCTGAGAACCGGGTAAAATCCATCTATTCGGGTTACTATTAAAGCTTGGGAACAGCTAGGGAAAACAACAAAGAAAACTTTATTTTATGCTCCAAATTTTCAAAATTGTATGAATAATACCCACATTTTTTAAATCTGAATTATCCTGGTACTTGTGAAGTCTAAAAGAAACAGTTGTATCTTGTCTTGATAATTAATAACATCCAGTTTTACAGAAAAGGCTGCATTGTAAAGTAAAGTAAAGAAGCTTTCCCTTTTTATACATACAACAAATACCTCAGGAAGTTTAGATGACACAACACGCAGTGGGCTTGTGGTTTCATGTGACTTTTCAAAAGGCACCAAACTAAACTACTCCGCTCTCGCTCTTCTCATAGAATGGCGAGAGGATAAAACATCTCTCTGCACACCCTCCCTCTCTCTCTCTCCCCGCATCGCCTCTCCCGCTATACAAACAGTACGCCCAGATAATGAGGCTGGGTGAGAAAGTGTAAAGTGGAGGTGTATTGAGGAGCCGTGTAAACTGGCCTAATCCTCCTTCACTGCATTTGTTGTGTCATTAGATCTGTATGGCTTGTGGATCCAGCGACACGGGCCCTATTCACTCCTGTAGCCCTCAGCCAGTGCGCTGCGGAGAGCCAGGGTTTGGTTCGATTCGCTATAAGCCACGGTGGATTTTCAAAGGTGGGATCGTCCTCAATGACCACACAGCACCTCTCCCCTGGGGACAGAAATGTAGTAAAAATCTGGAGGGAAATACCAGAAGTGACACAAAAAGACACCAGACTGTAAGATTCACTCAGCAGCTTTATTTGTTGGGTACATCTCATGACAGACCTGGCAACACATGGGTGAACCAGTAGTGATGTAATATGGCATCCCTTTTATTAATGTGGGTGAAAGCAGGTTTATTTTGGCTATATTTGCTGAGATTATGTCAACCAACCCATTGCTGCTTTACCTGCCAGTTTGCTATCAGCTCATTTATCAATTGCAAGACTTATTTTCTATGAATACATTTACCTACAGGAAAAAAAACGATTTGCTGTTGTTTCATATTTTAAGCCTTGAGAATTATAATACATAGCGTACAGTACCATGAAGAATTACAGTGTTTTTAAGAGTACATATTATGGACATTTTGAAAACTTAAATAAACATGTGACTGCAGTTTGCCAGTGGTATTGGCCTTTTTAAGTTTTTTAAGATGATTATTTATTTAAAAAATAAGACAAGATGGCACCATGCAGTATGTAAGGCTGAGTTTTCATACAATAAATAAGCAGTCAGGGTTGACCAATACAATTCCAAAGGGAAAGGGATTTTACTCAGAAAATTGGAGGTTATTTAAACAAACACTCCTCATCCTACAGCTGCATGTATTCTTATTCCCTTTGTAACAGACACACAATAAAACAATCTGCCGTCAGTGCAAACCTACTAACTGTTGTCGCTTACGTAACTTAGTAAATGAAATTATTCATCTTAAAAGAGTGTAAGCTCTACTGGCAGCTCCTGTACATGTGCCTCCTGTGCGTCGTACCTTACAGCGCTGATACGAGGTAGTAGAGATTTATTCATCTTGAAATGTAAACCATACAACTCAGGAGAACGACTAACATATTCATACAGTATGATAGAACAAGCATCACAAGTAGCGATATTGCTTTTGGCTACAGCTCTTATTGCTGGCTTATTAAAATATTAAAATGGCTCAGATGATAAAAAACAGCTTTTGATTATGTGTCCCAAAGTACTTCTCAACTCTCAGGACAGTATTCTCCACTGCCAATCATCAACTCAACGGCTGCACTAATCTCATTCTGTCCAATAGGCGTAATACTCAATGCGCTCGTCCTCACGCTACTGTCAATATTAAGACTTTTCCAGGCATTTCAATTGCAAAATTAAAAAAAGGCCAGTTTTGCCAGTGAAATGACAACTGTGCAATTTGAAAAAAATAAAGAAAGCACACTCTGCAGTAGAGCACTTAACCACATGGCTGGTTTCTCCTTCAAAATGGCAAAAAGTCAACTTCTTCTAGACGTATATTTAATTTGCTGAAGTCATGACTCATGAGTGTTATATTTAATTGGGATTCAGGGGCTTTGAAGCTCCAAACTCGAGTTTTGTCAAAACATTTTCCGCTGCAGACGCCCCGATCCTGACCTCACTTGGGAGGCTCTTTGAGCTGGTGTTCCCTGAGAGCCCCGGTGAAGGTGGCCGTCCACACATGCAGGGCTGTGGCGGCGGAGAGGGTGAGGAAGAAGAGGAAGGCAACTTGAAAACCAAACCAATCCACCATGCCTCCGGCCAGAGCGCTGAACATCAGCTTCCCCAGCACCTCCAGAGTGGACAGGAAGCTGTAGTGGGTCGACTAATGGAGAGGGGAGAGGAGGGAGGAATAGTGAGACAAGGGAGAAAGAGGAGAAGGTGAAGGAGAGGGAAGTGAGCAGAGAAAAAAGGGCACATTGTAAGTAAGGAGGGAGTAGTCGATGGGAAAGTCCTCTTATCAACTGTTTTGTCAAACTTGAATATGATTTATCAGCAAAAACAGACAAAGACAAGCAAACATCGTATTTTCAGGAAAAACCCCAAAGAGCAGAAGGAAGCGATAGATGAGAAAAACAAATAAGTAAAGACTGGAAGCCTGAAAGAGAAAGCGTGAGATCATGGCCTGAGACGATGGACTGAGGCCAAACGAAGGCGAGTATCTGATCCCCGCCGTGAGGCTCTCACAGACGGAGGGAGGGAGAGAGAGAGAGAGAGAGAGAGAGAGAGAGAGAGAGAGAGAGAGAGAGAGAGAGAGAGAGAGAGAGAGAGGATGACCTAATCTTCCTTAAGCCTCCTCCTCTTCATGTGAGACAGGTAACTAACTCAACAGAAGCTCTCTCACCTCGACCAGATCCTCAACTCATTTATTAATTAGACACTTTCTTTCAATGCAACAAATGCCTGTTATCTATTGAATGAATATAGATTCAATGTGTAAGTAATACTGTAACATGTTTGTATACAAATTACTATTCTGCATTATAGAAGAAAAAAACATCAAAACACATTTCTTTATCTTTGGGTGTAACCTCACCAGGTAGATGTTGAGTACTATACATTCAGAAATAATAACGCAGGCTTCTCTTAAAGAGATCAAATGTGTTTCTTCTGTCCACCATTCCTATCTGCATTTAGGAATTAGAGCTGCAGCCATTACTTGAATACTTAATAGTAAATTAATCACTATCCTTGTTGATAATCAATTCATAGTTATTAGATAAGGAGAATTAAAGGTTGTACTGCTGTTGTTAGTAAGGAGGGAGTAGTCGATGGGAAAGTCCTCTTATCGACTCATCACTTCATGTTTTGTAAAACTTGAATATGATTTATCAGCAACAACAGACAAAGACAAGCAACAATGAGAAAAACAAAGAAGTAAAGACTGGAAGCCTGAAAGAGAAAGCCTGAGACCACGGACTGAGGCCAAACAAAGACGAGTATCTGTTTGTAAGATAAAACATATTATTGGCCATCACCTAGGAAGAGTGTGATGGAAATGCTCCCCTTTTCCTGGATACTTAGCAGTGAAAACTATTATTAAGTTCATCAAAAAGTCATAATAATAGACCACAGTCATGACCATCCCTACAGAATGTGTCTTCCTGATGAAATGGAACGGGTGTGTGTTGAGGAGCTGGTGGTGGGTTTCAGCCTGCTGTGGTCTGCATGCTGAGGTAGAGAGCTCTGAGTGACCACCGCTAAGTGGAGTGCCTTTATTCTGAGCAACTTGTTTAACAGATTGGGTTTCTTTCTCCTGGGGATCGTTAACAAGCACTCACACTATCAGCTTTCTGTCACAGGATAGCACTACCTTCCAATACACACACACACACACACACACACACACACACACACACACACACACACACACACACACACACACACACACACACACACACACACACACACACACACACACACACACACACACACAGGCTCCCCCCTCCTGAGTGTACGTACACACACACACCCACTGATGCTCACACTGACATACTAACAAGCAAACAGTATATGTGTCATGAGAACCTCTCAAATGAACCGTGGTTCTCTCATGTTGTGATTGGTCCTCTCCTGTTGTTTATTTGAACAGTAACCAGACCCAGATATCTGTGCTGCAGCCTGTGATTTGTTTCCCCTCCACTTTGAAGAGTGACAGCAATTTAAATGATCATTTTGTCACCTTCAGAGATTGACTGAGTGATCTCTGTGTAAACAGCGATTACCTCCAGGCGACGGTGGCCCAGTTACGACCGGGACAAAAGGAGTTGTGTCAAAGAGGAGGAAGAAAACGAGAGAGGAGAGGAAAAGGTCAGAGAGCGTTTAAAGGACTCCCGAATGACAAAGACGTAAAGTGAGGTGGTAGGAGGGACAGAATAATAAGAATAGAAAAAGCAATGACTAGAAACTGGGTCTGAGATTTTCCAGGTGGTAACAGATGATGAGAAGTGACAGCTGTAGGTGACGAGAGGGGTGGTACTGCTGAGGACAACTAAGTACAACTGAAGGAAATGGCCTGAAATGTCACATAGGTACAATTAAACCAAGACAGAAAGAAGGGAATGTCAGAGAGGGGGACATTACACAAAAGAACGGGACAATTAATATTGAACACACATGACCAGAGAGATCATGTATTACATAACAGAAGAAAAGGAAGGAATGTAAGATGTTTGCCTTACCTGAATGCTTTCCTCTGCCCTCTGAGTGCAATGCATCATGGTAGTGAAGGTGAGCGTGGTGATGAGGCCGCCCAGGAAGTGCTGAACACTCATACTCAGGACGGCCATACCTGCAGGAGCAGACACGAAATCAAGCAACAACATCTTTGAGTGCAACTGTTTTAGTGAAAAAGGCATACAAACGATCAGTGATACACGGTCGTCTGCACTGCTCCACTTCTCACTATACTATTCTATGTAGAAGTCAAAGTAAGCAGACAAGCAGTGAGAAACGGTAAGACTTCTCTCCGTTCTCCCCCCCCCCCCCAAAACACATGTAGTGTATCCTCTGAGGGGAAGTGGCAGAGCGGTGTTAGTGGGGAAACACAGAGGAACCACAGAGCCTATCTGTCTCTGCTGCCGCTAACACTGAATTATTCACTCAAGCCGCCAGAGTTTTTACCGAATAAGACTCTTCAGTCAGCGACACAAGACTGTGGGAGTCACACAGAAGCTGCGAGTGATCACACTGCAGAGTGGGAAGCGGAGGGTTATCATGTAATATTGAACAACCTGAAACTGAATGTTTTTCCGTGTTTTTTTTTGTTTCGGTTGAGTTTGCCTGAAATCTTTGTTCTGGGTTTAAAGCAAAGGGGGANGAGAGGGAACCAGAGTCAGCAGAGAGGAGAATGTCGTTGGTGACCTTGAGAACCTTTTCAATCTGGTTTCCGTACTCGCCACAGCACAGAATCTGCCCTACTCAAGGTCACCAACGACATTCTCCTCTCTGCTGACTCTGGTTCCCTCTCAATTCTCATTCTCCTTGACCTAACAAACGCATTTGACACGATCAACCATTCCATCCTCATCAACCGCCTCCAGTCTTCCATTGGCATTACCGGTACTGCCCTCTCCTGGTTTAAATCCTATCTCTCTGACAGACATCAATTAATCTCCATTAACAACTCCGAATTCTTCACTTTCAAAGCCCTCAACAACCTTGCCCCCTCCCTACCTCTGTGACCTCATCCAACGACACAACCACCCGTCGCCTCAGTTCTGCTGAAGCTAACCTACTGCAGCCCATCAGGACAAAGCTCCGGACCTGGGGTGTCAGGGCCTTCGCAGCAGCCTCCCCCACACTCTGGAACTCCCTCCCCACGTCAGATCCGCCAACTCTCTCACATCATTCCAACAATCCCTCAAAACTCACCTTTTCACTCTTGCCTTCAACTCCTAATCAACTAACCCCTTGCCCTTATTCCTCCTACAGTAGCTTAGCACTTTCTACTTTTGTTGTTATTTTGTTTTACTTGCTTGTAAGCGCTTTGAGCACCAGGAAAAGCACTTTATAAATGTAATGTTTTATTATTATTATTATTATGAAAACCAGGCAGATTGTTGGATTTAAAGTGATGTTGCCTCATGTGAACCTTGTAAAAATAATAACAGGGGAATTGCATAACACCTGAGGGTGAGGCTCAATTTGCCAAGAATTTGCTTCAAACACAAAGTGCACCCAAAAGTGTTTGTGTTATCCCAGTACACGGATCAGGCAATTATTTAGTGAATACTTTATTATGATATAGCAGTGCACACGGCACTTTTCATGTGTGAATTCCTGAGCTGTTATCACCAGAGTCAGATTCCCCATGGGTAAGGCTGGATGTTCTTTTATATCTACAGCTATAGAGTTTCAGTCATTAACAATCAGGCTGGGGCGCAAGTCTGGTCACATCACCAACTTTATACCCGTATCACTTAGCAAAAGGAAAGGCCTGTTCATTCACCCCGTGCCAAGGCACAGCGTCACAAGGTGCGCCACAATGAAACACAAACAATAGCATACACAAAAAATAATAAGGAAGATTTTTTGGGAGAAATGGATAGAGAGAGTTCACTGACAGTTGCACCTCTTGTCCGGTAGAGATACCTCTGGGGAGATAGAGAGGAGAGAGAGGATGGGAGGGAGGCAGAGAGAGCAACATGTTTTAATCTCAGCAAACAAAGGTGTTGTATCGCTTTTTTTCTCTCTTTGTCTCTGAGCACCCAAGGGGAAGAGAGGTGTTGGCTTTTTGCGCTGCTTTTGTCCTGTGGTCCGCAGAATGGCCTTCTGGGAAACTTGAGTGGGCAGGTGGAGGAGCCATCAGCAGCATCAAGTGTCACAGTGTTTCCTCCACTGGTGTTTACTTTTTGTTTATTTGCGACACGGACACCTCTCTCTCCATCTCCCCTCTCCCCTGTTTCTTCCCACCGCTTCTTCTTTTTTTCTTTGTTTTCCTCTTCGGCTTGTTCAACAAACTTTATCATACGCTCACTTAATGTTTGTTTTTACTGGGAACCCTTTTCATTCAAGAAAAAACATCGATTTAAGACTTCATGGTAATTGATCTGGATGTAAATAGCATCCAAATCCAATTCCTGCATATAATCAAAGGTTTAAATCGTATCTCGCAGTCTTCATAAATAAATCATAAACAGTGGACTGTAGAGAGAGACGATGATATGGCCTGTTGACAGATGTTTTAGTTTTTCCTTCTTAAGAGCTCTTATTTTAACATTCATTGAAATGACTCTACATTTGTGCATTCAATCTGTAAAAAACTGATAAAAATAGATGTGATAATTATAAATGAGTAGTATGAAAACTCATCATCTGATCATCTTTAAAGTTAATCCCATAAAACATCTGTGCAAATTATTTGATACAATAAGAAAGTAAAACTGCATTGCGGTTCTGAGGCTGATTGAGCACATGTAAAGATAAACAAATAACAACATTTTTGCCACCTAATGGATTTTGTGCATGCCTTTACACAGCGAAGGCTCAAAGAGGAAGAGGAACAGAGAGGATCTATGGAGGAAGCCTTGATGCAGGACGGACAGAGGAGCAGTGAGGTCTCAGTTTGCTGCTCGCTAGGACACAACGGCCGAGAAGTAACTCTAGCCCGAGGAGAGAGGAGCGCTGGAGTATTTCCTTCCATTGCAGGCAGGCAGATATCTTTACCTGGTGACAACACACACCTGTGTGTAGATCACATGACCTCAGCGGCACTGTGGGAACAGGCAGAGAGATGCACTCAGTCAACCTTTGTGGAGATTTAAGGATCCAAGAAGAAGGACAGGAGGAGAAGAAATGACACATTTGCTTTATTCTTGGAAATGCTCCTAAAATATACTGTTAAATATTGATTGAGGGAGATTTTGCATGTTTTCTTTCTTAGAATATGAAACGTATGTGCTACAGTACACACACACGCACACACGCACGCGCACACACACAAAATAAATCCAGCACAAGACCATTTATCCTGCTCTGTTATTTCAGGGTGTCTGGATAATCGTGTTTTGGAGAATTTTCCTTTTTAGGGAATTATTTGAATACAGTTAATTTGGAGAAAATAAATCGTACACCTAATCCCCTGCACTTAATTTAAAAAGATACATTTTCAATTAGTTTCCACTGAGAAGCCATGAGTTCACCTTAAAGCCTCTGAGCAATAACTACAAGCCCGACCCCTCTGAATAACTTAACGTAAGAATAAATTGTATATACGGTACTCATTTCATTAATAATACACGACTGATTTTCATACAGGATCTCTGCTCCCTGCAAACATAATCATAGTTGTCTATTTTTAGGTACAGGCTCTTAATTAGCATGAATATTCTAATGAGAGACAAAGAAGCGAAGATGCAAGTGTAAACAGAAAATTACACTTGTGCGGTAAATGTACACATGCATCTTCATCTTCAACATTTTGAGATGGCAGAGTAAATGGCTTGTTTGTGAGTCTCCAGTGTTGCATATAAACATTTTAGGATAGAGAAGGGGGTTCATTTTCCTGGTGTTTGTATCTTCTGAGTCATTTTGTTATCACCTCATTCTCAATTAGACTGTCAGTGGGCCAATAGCTATCCTATGTTTTGACTTGACTTTATGCCTTTATTTTTTGTAAAAGTCCTCAGCTGAGATCAGAGAAGACATGCTATGTTTTCAGCCTGTTTACATATATTCCTAATTACCACACAGAAGCTGATTTAGCCTACGTAGCTTTTCCTAGTTGGATTAGCATATTAGCATCTATAATATGACAGAAAGATCAAGCTAGTTAAAAATGTGTAATTAATGCAACTTTCAGGTAGTAGATCATTGAGAAATTAGAATTACGTTTTGGGTTACAACTGTTGGAGAGTCACTTCTTGTCTTCTACATTGCAATTATTTACCTAAACTCTTAGGAAATAGGATTAAAACACACTTCAAGTATTATCATGTTATGTTGAGCTTAATGAGTTACAGTATATTTACCAGGGATCAAATCTGCTTGGCTCTTAAATGCATCTTTTCACGGAGCTAGTTTGTGAAATACTGTAGATGAGCTACCATTAATGCACCAGCAATCCAGAAACATGCTATCATTTGTCCGTCAAAGTGGCTCCCTAAACTTAATTCTGTTTTCTCTTTGTTCCCCTCAGTCACTTTGCCCTGAGGATTGAACATCATCTAATAAAGAGTTAATTAAAGAGAGGGAAAATAAGCTCTCTGAGCTAGCTAGCTAGCTAGAAGTCAGTTAGCAATGATCACTGTTAGCATTGTCAGTGAGCTTTACCATTGCCAAATTTAAATTGATAGAATCTAATAGCTCTTTAAAATTTAAATAATTGTATTGTAGCAGCAATCAGTAACATTCTTTCAAATCATTTTTGAGGAAATTAACCAAAAACTTATATTAACAATACAAGATCTTTTTTGTCAAATTGTCGGGCGTTTAGGCGACAACCGTCAAAATATAGACTAAACTACCTAAAACGTTTTATTTTATTTCATCCGAACATGCTAAAAGGCCTGGCTTCCTCCTTTTAGGACTCTCAAGCTCTCCGTTGGCTCAAGGTCAGCAAGCAAGGTAAAGACCCCATGGCCTAAATTATGTAGATTCAAGTCAAATTTGACCAACACAACATAAACGTTTTAAATGCTGGTGTGAGCAAGCCTTTTTACACATCTCTAAGAAAACAGAGAAATGATCTTAACACTGTGTATGTGCATCTGAAGTGATCGGAGCTGCTCTGTGGGGAAACAGGCTCACTATCCGGTCCCTCTGTGATGGGCTGGGATGTGACAAGC